CTCTACACCTAGCATCTCGTCTCTGACACACACAACAGTAGTCACAACTCACAAAGTGCACCCCCACTCACCAATGAGCCGATGCTTGATTGCTGAAGATGTTTCCACAGTCAATGTCGCTGCGGAAGATATCGCCGTTCTGCCCAAATGTGTCACAGGAGCAGCAGAAGCCCTGCATAGTCGTACATGTAGTGGAAGAAGTGTGTACTATATTTTCTTTAGTTATTATTTCATACTACGTGCAGTGGTTAAGTACATGTTTCATATGTCCACGTACGTGTTTCTTGGAAGTTCAAATGTGTGACAGCTGCAGCGGAAGCTCTGCCATGCTTTGTACGTAATATGAGGAGTGTGTATTCCATGGTTCCTAGTAATTATTTAGATAGATAAGCATAGTATATGTGATAAGTATATGAGAGTGTGTATATATGGTCGATTATGTGTAGCTTTCCTGCCCAAAGGTGTCACGGGTGTATACATTGCCGTACATGACGTTTTATACGCTGAAATAAATGATAGACGTATGTTGGTGCCACGCAGCAAACACGTAACACGCTAAATACCAATTGTACCAATAAGTCATAAGTGTTGGATTGATTACTACACCATTGTTAACAAAACAACAAAACCAATAGATAGTCGTATAGACCGAGTAGCCCATACGTGCTTGTCACAGCAACAAGAGTAGTAGGTAGACCAAACCCTTACTGACAGAATACATACACCCCTATAAACCAAGCAGAGCCTCAGCGGCCACTTGCAGACTACTTAGCAAGAGAGAGAGACCTATAGTACCAGTCGATAGTGAACACGGTGTGTAGGGCTTGCTATATAGTCTACCGTATGGCCTAGTCGCTGTGAAACGGCATACCTGACTCTCTGGCACCTGCACGTTATTGTTCTCGCGGTCGATGAAGACTCCGCACGTACTGTCGGTGCTACCATCGTCAATACAGCGATCGAACACCCCTCCCGCAATACTGAGTCACCCATGTGTGTATTCATGTGATTGGTCATAAGTTAGTGCGTGTTCGTGCAAGTATATTTGATGTAGCTCACACAATCCTTCTATCTCCCAAAAGGGAAAGCCATACAGAGGCATCCTTGCCGCCACTCGATGGCACCAGCCATGATGAGAAAGCAACAACATAACAGAGCTTACACCCGTGAACTGGCGGAACCTCGGTGTTGCACCACAACGACACAAAAATAAAAAAACTATAAATAAATAAACATTTAGCGGATCAGAGTTGCACTCATTTTATACTGAAGTTTTTTTTTCTGTTGGCGTGTATCGTTTATGTCAGCTGACTTTTGTGACAAGTTCAGGTAGGTTGACATCAGGTTATGCGTAGTGTAAGTTTTTTTAGATGTAGACATGCTGAGTTCAATTGGATTAACAATTGAATATGCCGATTCGTACAGTTCAAGATTTTTAAAAAATATCTTAAACATGCACATAATCAGAAATCAGTCGTATTGTATCCTTAAAATACAGATGCGCACTTTAAATAAATACGCCTTGTACATGTGTGACATACGCAGTATTCTATTGCATCATTGTCTGACGTGGCAGTTAATTCGCGAGAGGAAAAATATATCAGTGAACTTTTAAAAACAGAATATCAGCGCCCATTGTTAAATATGACCAGTGTTATTGCGCTTTGAAGCACGCAGGTGTATTCGCAACCGTGATCCTATGATATATCCGATCTGCCGTCTTCATTTATTGTGACATGCTATCTGTGTTTTAATTAAATAAAGCGCATTGCTTATTTGTGCCGGTTGTGAGTACAGCACTCGTAAACAAAGAACAATAGCAGCAAAGGATACCTACTCGAGATCTATTTTGTAGTTGCATTCCACATACCACAGTTGGAATGCATACTTTGGACATCCACGTATAGGGTCACTTACATTTGACGACAGAATGCTTAGTGTGTTAAATATATAGTTATGTATGAAACGCCACCAACCCATCTTCGGAGGGAGATTTGGCTCGTGCCCTCCATTGCGTTCAACACACATATACACCACCGTCACTGCAGCCTACCTTGCTTTCTCGATGATTAGCTCATAGGGTTTGTTGTTGACATTCTGGACGTAGTCCAGCGCATACAACAGAAGGGGTTGCGACTTTTGGTACGTAATACGTATAGGGGCGACGAGTGTTCTATTTTCCCCACTCACAACTGCTTCGTTCACTATGACCTCGATCGCATTTGTTGGTCCCTAAATGTCCAAATATAAATAATGGAACACGTTCTGAATGGAATTTTGAATTTTACAGGTGACAAATTGATACATGATATCCAAATTAGAACTGCCGCACTATATATACACTCAGAATAGAATACACCAAAAACTGAAAAATCGAGGAAAAGCAGCATATGCCTCAATGCTACGCACACACACCTACAGCAACGCCAGGTCATACTAGCAACAAAAGTCTGTATTGCTATCTACTGTCGTGCCAGGTGCTCCCCCTCGTATAGCAACTATAATACTTACCAACTATATCTACTACAGTGTAAAGTACATGAATGGACATATAATCAACCTGGCCACCAGCCACAGTGACAGAAACGACAATCTTGTTTTCACATGTCGTTGTTCCTGCTGTCATTGGGTCTACGCCTCCGTCCGCTACGCATTTCTCAACTTCGCTTTTGGCGATGATACCCGCTTTTACGCCACTTATGAGTGCTGTATTTGGATATAGACATATGCAAAGTGATCAATTATACGTATGCACGGTTTAGTCAGCCATATATTGTACTTATTTCTCTCGTTTCATATCTACAATTGCAGAGATATCCCATGAATTATAAAAGTTCGATGTGGATACAAGTCACAAAGACAACTGATAAATATATCAGTCATTAAAAATAGATTTGTTGGCACACCTGTCAAGATTATGATAATAGCGCACAGTGTGGACACTGGGCAGATCATCCGTTTGGTGCTTGTATGCATGTTAACGGCACGTGCAGTTGTTGTAGCCTATGTATCTTGGTATAATATGTAGCCTGTGAGCGATGACTTTGTGTTTAATGATGAAAACTAAAGCGGTGTACGCCTGCGTTGCTAGTATTAAAGTTGTATCCGCAACATAAGTTCATAGCTACACTATCGCAAACTAGAATCAAGTCACCGTTCCAACCCCCCTCTCCCCTTGAATTTAGGTCAAGAGGGGCAAGAAGCACACAATCTTGTCTCCACGAATGATTCATGGGCGATGGTTGCTATATGGTCTTCCGACTTCGTCGATGCTCACGCCTACAATTACGAAATTTATTTTTATCGTGGGCACTTAATTCAAATAAAATAAATAATCTCCTCGCTTGGTTGCCATACAGCAAAAGTTTGGTTCATATCAACACTTGAGAAAAGGATTTTGGCTTTTTGGCTTTTCACAATTGAGCTATTTGACTTTTCGAGCCGATTAATTGACGAATCTAAATTTTAAAAACTAATAATCACGGACTCGGAGTCAGTGAATCAGTGATCTCAGTTCCCAATTCCCACTGTTCCTACTCTACTAGAGGGACTAGGGCGCGGTTCCCACTTCCCAGTTCCCAGGGCATTTTATATATATTTGTTTTTTGAAAAATAGAAAGACAAAAGTATACTTGAAAAATAATACTAAAAACAAATATACCAAGTAATGTTGAGTACTGCATAAATACCAATCAAATTTTGAGCACGTTATAAATATCTTATTTTTTAGATTTTAGGTTTTCTAAACCTTAAAATCGGCAGCGGAGAGCCCGGTAGATTTCGGTTATAAGCTACAACTGTTGCAGTTTTGCCAGAGATATTGTTTTTTTTTTAAATATATATGTTTTTTAAATATTCGAACTTTTTTGTTTTGTTTTTATATATAAAAAATTCAAAATTATGTAAACTAAGAAATATTTAACAAGGAAGCTTTGCGGTTTTTAAAATAATAAGTAGATGGCTAAATAAATATGATTTTTATTTATTTCACATAAATATTTAATGTTTTGTTTTTGGGTTTTTAAAACAAAAAACAAAAAAACAAACAAAAAAAAATCTGCGATCGTCCAGGGAACAAGGTGGCTAATTACAATATCAACCACTCGCTCGAAATATCAAGCAGGCTCGATTCCGATGTACAGCTCCGATGAAACCGCCACGATATATTGTACTATACGTCTTGTGCGTACAATACCGTTAAGCTACACGATATAACTTTCATTCCGCTCAGGATACCGAACTGATACAATAAAAACTTTTCTCATGACAGCTGTGCATTGTTTCATGTATTTCCTCCACCCGGATCTGAAACTTGTATCCGTCCATGGGGAATTATATGGTTTCCTGGATTATAGCTGACCATCATAAAGTCCGTGTAAGTGAGATCGCCTCTAACTTCGAACCTATTTAATTACCTGCTTGAGAAATATGGCATATTTTTAATAGTTTTATCGAGGAACATTGTCCACAACTACTTTATTGCAGAATTTAACTAAATACGAAACCTTCGTCGTATCTAGAATGATTTGGCTGCGTGTTTTCGTAGTCAGCTGTGTAATTATTGAGCCTGGAATTTTCTGGGCTACTATAATTTAAAAGCATACTTTATTAATAACAACGATAAGAATCTGTCTTTCATTGTCAATTTGATATAGGTTCTATAAATTTGCTGGCGGATGGCAGTGGTCAGTTTTTCGAAGCAGAGATCAAGTATTTCAATCTTGTTGTCTTTTGAGAATATGACAACTCTATATTGTATAGCACCTATACTCAAAGGCACATCGTACTACATAATGCTTAATTGAGCACATTGTAGCCCTGCTCTCAGAGGCTGTACAACCGCTAATACTTGATATACAGATTCCAGTAATAACCTATTGGCCCGCGTCTCAGCACTACATCATCACGTTCAGTTTAGTATCTAAATCATAGCTACCCTGACTCTATAAAACACGATCGAGCATCACCCCTCTAGCAGCGTAGTATTGCAAATCCAGTTAAGGTAACATATAATAGTTATAAATTTCCATTCGCAGCGATATCATAGGTGGGTGCCTTTGAACGATGATTCTGTCGTGTTTGAAAATTTCATACAAAGAAGCTCTTTGATATTCATCATACTTAGATTATGAATATGTACGGGCTCAAATAAGTTCGTATTTATCGAGAATGTATATGTGATGATGTGGCAATCTAAAATACACTAGATATTAAATTATAGAATAAGGATGGCTGTCTCCCAGCCTGCTACACATACTCGATGTGCCGTACCTCTCTATACACACCTCAACGAAAATTCGATCTACATATAATGTTGATTCATTCCCAAAAAAATCAGCAGAATACTAACGTGAAATATAGCTGGGTACTATGACTTTGTCGGAAAGCTCTAGAAAGCACGACATAGCCAGCCATTCGTTGTATCTAATTACCTGGTTCCACATATACCAAAATAGCGAGGTAGCACAAATTGAATCCTGATACAAATATGCTACATTATGCTTCCCTAATATCTGTAAATACAAGAAGAAGAGAAAAAAAATGTAAGCATATCAGCCATATACCAAATTAATATGTATGTCTGCTTCCATATATTCATATACCGAAGATCATCAGAAACCTATAATATTTACTCTTTTTACATTTGTAGTTTATGCCGGGAACTATTCTC